TCTCACACCTTCCTATCATGTCCAGTGTTAGGTTGTTTTTTTTTTAGCAATTTGAGCTACAGTAGCTCATCTGTGTGATCGGACCAAACAGGCTTGCCTTCACTCCCCACGTGCATCAATGAGCCTTGGGCTCCCATCACCCTGACACCGTTTCACCGGTTGTCCTTCCTTGCATATCTATAGGTAGGTACTAACCACTGCATACCAGGAACACTCCACAAGACTTGCCGTTTTGGAGATGCTCTGACCCAGTCATCTAGCTATTACTGTTTGGCCCTTGTCAAAGTCACTCTGATCTTTTCGCTTGCACATTTTTCCTCCTTTCAGCACATGGAATTCAAGAACTGACTGTTCACTTGCTGCCTAATATATCCCACCCCTTAACAGGTGCCATTGTAATGATATAATCAATGTTATTCACTCCACCTATCAGTTGTTTTTATGTTGTGACTGGTCAATGCATGAGCTAAGTTTGTTTTCCATTGTTATGTAATCGAAAACAAGCTTAGCTCATCACAGGAGTTCACCAAGTCACTAGTATCTGGATTGTAGTAAATTGGCATTCTTTTTTTTCACTTCACTACAATAAGAAGTTCACTGAATAATCGTGACCGTGTACACACACTGTAAGGATGGAAGAGTGGTGTTACAAATATGGCTGTTCACAATGATTAAGCCTTCAATGTAATATTGTAAAATAAGTTTTCCAAATGGTTTTACAGTTTGGATAAACTTTTAAAATGATTTGATATAATTAAAAATATTATAATTTTGTAATATTTTTATTTATATTTTTAAATATATTTACATATATAGTATGTTCTTATATTTTAATGTTGAAAAAATAATTTGAAAAATGTATCCCAAATATGAAATCATTTCAAAATCTAATCCAACAATATTAAATCGAGACCCAAGTACTTTAGCACATATATAAACATAGTGCCCCCTTTTTGTAGAAAAATGAACAAGCAAGCTCCAACTGGTACTGATTTTCTTTATTTTCCCTTTTGTGACTATTTGTTGTTTGCAATGTTAATGAATACTTGTAGGTACAACTTAATAGACATACTATGTGCTTTGTACGGGAAAATCCTGGCTTTGACATCACACAGTAAGATAATAAAACAGAGGCCTACTGGCACCAGTCTTCACACATGTATTGGGTTGGTGGAAAACAAGGACTCAACACCACCAGATAATCTCAGCAAATAACACATTAACAAGAAAAGCTAAATGCCCCCTAATGGGTGACCTGTCTGTTATTGTACACAAATAATGCGACTGAAGGTTATGGAGCAGCAGTCGATCCATTGGTGTATTTGTAACCGTAAGTGTGCAAAATCTTGCTTGTTAATGTTCTATTGTCCATTCTTCCCAGGAAGTAAAGCTTTTGTGTTGCTATCAACAAGCAGTTGAGTCAGATTGTAGTCTCCAGTTAGAACGTTGCTTATGAGTTGAAACTCTGTTACTTATGACTTTATAATCTTTTTTTCTTGCCATTTTTATTTTGTTTAGTTTTATTGCTGGGTAACTCTCTGACTTTCGTTTAAAACCAATGATAACAAGAATGTTTCATGAATCTTAACAAATACAGCACAGTAATCTAATAGTAATCTACAAAAATGTTTTTAAGATATCGAGGCCTATCCTTTTTATATAATACACAATTATAATACATAATGGTAGATGGCACAGCTTCTTCTGCTGTTGAAAGTTGTTTGTATCTGTAACATATTTATGTCTTCAGATATTAAGCAACTTCCGATGCCGAGGTTCTTAGAAGAGCACTGCAGACAAGCAATTTGACAGCACTGCTTGCTTTGACCATAAACGCAATATAAAACTCTTCTGGACACAGGTGATTAAATGAAAAGAACAAGGAGAAGATCTGGGGCTATTCAAGAAAGGTCACACTGTAAATGAAGCAAATAGGCAGGGGCCATCATAAAAGAGATACAGGAAATCCTCAATAAAAGGCAAACACAATGTCTCAGCATCCCCATCACTTTAGCAATTGGGTTTTAGAAATGGTAGGAGAACATACAATGCGTAAGAAACCAAGATACAAAATGTTTTCCTTTTAGGCAGAGGTCAAGAAGGTCTTCACGTTGTCATAGTAGCTAAGACCCCATGTTTGTATTTGTTATCTTTATACTATTGTTTTGTCTAGGTATTTCTACTATATGATATTTAGAAGATGAACCCCAATTATGGACTCTGAGCAACCAGCGGGCTACAGAAAGGAATTTTACTGTTTTGATTGTAAAGGAGACTTTAAAAAAACTTAAGTGTAATTGGTGATAAGTTGATAAGTACATTGCAGCAAAAATAAACACCAGACGTGAAGGGTTTTTGAATGGCAAGGCTCTTTCATGGCAAATAATAATTACAATTATTGATAAAGTTGTACAATGGGTAAAACAAAAACTTTTTTAAATACAAGATCAGTAGGTGAAGAGGGACTTGCCCAAACGAGTTTACAATCTATGATTGTAAGGATGAGGGACAAATACACAGAGATAAGTGAGGAAAACAAATGATCTGGATATACCGGAAAGGTTGGGAGCGATGTTTGAGAGGAGGGAGCACAGTGGATGGGAGACAGCAAGGAAAGGTTATCAGGGATGAGGAGTTAAGGGATAAGCTGAGCTGAGGGGGGAGTTGGACTTCATATAATCTGTAATTCAAGTATAGACAAGTCCTTCAAGTTGCTTGGAGACAAAGGGAAGAAGAGAGCTAGGCAATCATCGTGGACAAGAAAATGTATTTTTAGTATGGGTGTGATATGTGCATATTTTAAGGACAAGGGAAAAAGCCAAGAAGGTGATTGAAAATTACGGGGTAAGGGAACAGTTGAAGATAAGAGAAATTGAATAAGGTGTGAGGGATCAAGGGGAAAATAATATGGGATGGGATAAAATAGCTTTTACCATTCCAATTACTGCTGCTAGTGCTGTACAGAACAACAAGATACCCCATTGAAAATGCTCAATAAATAAAGATTTATAAAAGAAAAGACCTTTAGGGATCAGACTGTGATGAAGGTTTATACTATATTTGTTCCTTAATGGGCTCAATACTAATCTATACATTGTGCTTGCAGTATTGCTAGAACATACTCTTATTTTTCAACAATACTAAATGCCGCTCTTCATTAAACCTTATGTCTGGAGACTAATCCATTGGTATATGTGTAGCATCCTAAAACCTTTTTCCTCTTAATCAATACCAAGTCACTAAGTGTACGTGAATCTCCGATAAATGTGCATTTCTTTCTTTAGCGTACATTATTATTTTTCCTGGTAAAAATTTAATCTAGATTTCCATGAGTTGTAACAAATTCTTTCTGAGAAATAATGTGTACTTTAACTTTTTATCTAAATAAAAAGAGCTATGGCAAAATTTGAAAGCGTATATATTAGTATTATCTACGAAGGTGTATTGTGTTGGGCCATGAAAAAGATTCTACAGCCCACACTGAATCAAGCTAATAGTGCAATTAAATGTGAAAGTGAATATACAGGTCATCTTGAATGAAGCAGATACAAAAAATCTGAAAATTGCATGGTCTACATTTATATAAAATCCATTCTCTTATCAGGAATACAGTTATTATAGAAAATTGGCGAGGGACTGCTTCGTTACAGAATGCATATATGCTAGAGGTTACATTCATTTATTGTAATGATATAGCATGCCAATTAATATGTTTAATACATGCATATGCTGTTTTATTACAAACATAAAAAAGACAGGTTGTATTTTACACTAGAACCCCAACATTGACTAAATTCAAGACTTACAACTACTACTTCAAATGCATTATCACCACTTTGGTACAGATATCACTCTTTGTTGTCAACCCCTATTATGGATTAGATGATACAGAATATCCACAAATATTAATTCCATACAGCCCATAAGATAGATCCCCAGATGTTGTAGAACTCTAACTCCCATGATGCTTTGCATGCATTTCGAATGTCCTAGAATGGTAAAGCATCATGGAAGCTGTAGTTTGAAACATCCCTTTTTGGTATAGTGTGGAATGCCTTTGAGACATGCAATTTAGACAATATTCTCCCAAATGTACAGACTGTACAGCAATGCATTAGTGTTTCCATCTTAATATATCTCTACATTTACTTAGTTTAAAAAAAAAAAAAAAAATATTCATAGTTTTATTATATTAGTACTAACTCAATTTACTCCTTCCTATTATGTTAGCACTGGACAGACATTATGGTCAGAGAATTAAATTTTTCAATATTTTTCAATATTTTTCAATATCACACAGTGTTTCGTTTTAATATATATATATATATATAAATATATATATATATATATATATATATATATTAAAATTCATTATTTTTACTTGTGCATGAAGTAGCAACAACAGGCGTGCAGAGCCACGACAGCATCTGCAGGCGTTTTCACATCGTTTCAATGTGTGGCAGTTTAAACAACACAAAATGTATTTATTTTTAAAACATGAAAATAACAGGCTATGTATCGCTAGTAGTTCACATTTAACATGCTAGGCTAGACGTGCATTTAACAGATTGTGTTACGTTTAAAAGTATAATATGATTTGTGGCATTGCTCTTCTGCGAAGAGTAATCATGTATACTTATGCCAATATTATAACAGCTTAGGTTCTCGCTTGGTTAGTTATCTGGGTAAGCATGTCAGAGAGTAAAAGTCAGAGAAATGACAAAGGGGGACAGCATTACATGTATATTCATCGTAGCACGGGTTTTTGACGGTGTGAATCGTGTTGCTGTGTAATGATTGTGCTAGGTGGTATGTCGCTTATAAGTAAGTATCACATATGTAAGTGCATGCGATGTGGTCTGCCCATTAGGTATGAAAGGTATAGCTTACTGACTAGTGTGACAAACAAGATGCTAGTGCTGTTGAATAGTCAAGTCATAAGATAAGGCTGTGTCTGTGGAGATCACAGGTTGCAGTCTCTGTGCTCCCAATCTGGGGTGTCATCCCACTCCGGTTCTTGGCAGTCTCTTCTCGTGCCCAGGTGGTGCAGTAACGTCCCCCTGCACTGTCTCAGTCGTTTGTGGCAGCAATTGTGGTGTCTCAGGTCCAGGCTGTTGAGGTGGGCTGTTTCTGACTGGGTGCTGGGTGGGTGGCTTGAGATTTCGGCCCCTCTGGCCTGTCATGTCGGGGCTGGCAGTGCTAGGGTCTGGTGGTTCCTGTGAATTCACGGCACAGGGATTGTCCAGTGGGGTCCCGCTCTTTTTATGCCCCCATTGTCTGTGCTTGTTAACTGTAGCCTGTACCTTGGTTTGCCCAGTGTAGTAAGCTGACATAGCCCTGGGGCAGGCTATTATGATGGTCAAATGGCGCTGGCTGGTCCCCTCTGCGATCAGCTCAACCATGTATGTAGGTCGCGCACGTGGCCATCTTGAGGGATGCTGCCAGAGAGTGTTCCACAGCTGGGTGATCATTTTCATCCCAGAATGGTGCAACAGCCATTGCCCGTGTAGACTGGGATGACATCGCCGGTCAAGAGGGGGGAGGGGAGCCAGACGCCTGCCGGAGACCCAGAAGAGAGGCCATCTCATCCCGGCTCAAGCTCCTAAGCGCTTTGGGCCCCTGTCGGGTTACTGTAGGTGCCAGGCAGGGTCTTGGAGGGTATCTCCTCGTGCCCCAGCATCTGAGGATCGATTTTGTCTACGGTGTGGGTTGCCAGGTAGGTTTAACCTCCAGTTTGCGCCGATTTTCAGCCCCGAAGCGGGAGCTCAGATAGAGCACGTCTGATCCTGTTGGTGGCCGGGCCCCGCCCCCTTAATATAATATTATATAACAAATATAACATTTATTAGAAGCAAAGCTAGCACAATATATTTTATATAGATTAGTGTCTCGGGATACATAAAAATTTCTATTATGTAAGTTTACACAATTTTAACTTGTTTTTAAGTGACAAACTCTTTGATTACCTTCAAGCAATTGGTCAGTAACTTGAGCAGAATGATTTGGAATTAACTGAGAAGTTTGTGCGTGTCAGAATGTTACACTAGTGAATCCAGTTTCTTAAGAATATGCAAACTGTTTTAATAAAGATTTGTTTCAGTGTTATACCTCTGTGTATAGTTTATATTGGAAAAGCAAATGTAAAATGTTATTTTCCAATACTTCTCATAAAACACTAACGGAATTGAGTGATTTTTGCTTATATAAAATGCAAATCAATTCTATTTAAGCTTTAATGAAGCAGATTTAATAATTTGTACTATCTCAATGTTCAGAGTTTATTGGGTATACATAATGATAATGGTGCAATTGTTTGCAGACAAAACAAAAACAAGAGTTTAAATAAATCTAAATATTGTATTTGGGGTTTATTCACTTAACAGTGTACTGTTGTAAATTGGAAATTAAGTTGCGAAATTTAGGCTGTTTTGGAAAACTCTACAATTCGCCTACAATTGTAGTTTGGCTGTTTCCGCCTGAAATGGGTTTACAATCCACTGCAATTCCCTGTTTTGTGAGCAAATCCTAAAATGTTGTTGAAATATAATGCAAGGAATTCCGTGATTTCTTTACGCAAGATTCAAGTAAACCTGAAACAGTTGTTAAAGGGGATCTGTCACTTTTCTAGAATTTACACCTTTAAATGAAACATTTAAATCACCTATAATTTGTGTTAACCTTTTATTTTATGAGAAGTTCCATTTTATTTTAAGTTTCTATTTAGGAGTTAGCAAATAACATATCCAGACAAGGCAAAGCTAAGGCAAACATTGAAAATGAGGAGGAGATATAGAAGCATTGTTTCATTTCTCTGCTTCTCTGTATGGTTTTATAATGCGAGCTGCATAACAGTGATTGGCTGACAGGGCCAGATTTCCAGTCAGGGCAGAGCAGGCAGCTGCCTACAGGCACATTCCTGATTGGAGAATCTACTTGACCTGTTAGAACTCCCCGCATTACCTCCTGCCTGATGTCTGCTGACCGGACACAGAATCTGGACTCTGGAATCCCTGTATTCAGTCTGGGAGAGTCTGATTTGAGCATGGTCCCACCCCCTAAGACCGAACATTGTGATCTCCTGGAGAGAGAAGGGAGAGCACTGACCAGGAAAAGGAAGAGAACTTGGTTAGAATGGCCAACTCATAAATGATAGCTACACCCAGTTGCACAGACAACACACACTGCTACACATTGTGCTTCCCACACTGTTACACACATTGCAACTTATATCGCTATGTACACTGTCCATACACACATTACTACACACAGTACACACATTAAGATACTATGTTTTAATCTAGAGAACCATATAATTAATTTACCTATGATTACTCCTCATATCCCCAAATATAGCCATGACTAGTACAGGAAGCACCACAAAGTCCAACTTCCCTGGCTGCAGTAAGTTTATTAACTTACTATGTTTTACCACTGTTGGGTGCTCCATACATAAACATTTCAGCTATTCGTAAAATCACTCTGGTTCCACAGCATCTTGTCTGTCTTGTTCCATAAAGCCCTGCATCAGAAGGATCAATATAATGCATTGATTACATCATTTAATGAGCTGCCTTGTAAAGTCAGGTGTTACTCTTGTACAAAAATTAAATAATACAGTTAAAAATCTTCACTGGAGCATTACCCACTTTACTATCTCATCACAGCCAGCCTGTGGTTCTGTCTCCTTAAAAACAAAATCATTACAGCTGTAAGAAAGTGCCCAAAATATTCAAAGACACAGAAAGAAGACTGATTCATTAAAAGTGATGGCTTTATGAATTTATCCAAATTTATCAGATCGTGATGAAAAGCTGGAAAGATTAAAAGTACCCAAATCTTGAACCAAATGACCCTTTCAATGTCCAAACATGTTTGTTTTGATTCGTGATTCTAAATTCCACTCATGGTGCCAAAAAAAAAAAAGAGATGATTGATAACGAGTGGACAGTCACTAATTGGTAGGTTTCTTCACAGAACATGTGAAAAGTGACCAATAGAGGGTAAAATAGGAGGAACAGTAACATATATACATATAGATTTAATAAGTAATATAATTATCAAATATCAATTATTATTTTTACCGGTCCTCCTGTTTTTCCAAATGTTGGGTAAATGTTCCTATTAGTGTACTTCAAAATAGATACATGATATCATATATATATTTTACAGAACACTAATTGGCCCATTTTTGTGCCCTTTTTGGTTCATCTGATTCATTTCTAAATAGTTTTTTTGGTACCGAAATTCTGTCATGCCAAACCACCATATGGCCAAAATTCAGGCATCACACAAATATATCTAGTTTCTGGAAAAATGGTTCAACCAAGCCAAATGTTCTCACTCTGCACAAGTCTACAATAGATTGTAACATGTTGTGTTCTTGTTAATAAAGGGCAGGATTATGTTAACTGGCATATGGTATGATGTTGCTTTTTGGTAATCCAAGTCAGTGACATTTACCTTTTTTGGCTGACTCAATGAAGTGTGTATACTTTACGACCTTCACACATACAATTATCCTATTTACCCAGTATGCATTATACATAGAAAGAAAATATACTTATCAAAAGGTTCTTACTAAAACTAAATATATAGAACATGCCACTAACTAATTAATAATTTATAGATTAATCTCCTCATAACCAATTAATCTGTATATTAAACAAAATCAAACCAAAATATAGTGGTCTACCACTCACAAACATGTTTTTGTGTATTTACCATTATATAATATATAGTATTTAACTGGTCTATATAATCTTGATGAATATTCCGAGGTACATGAAATACAGACAGAAAAATATTTATAGTGTATATATTTATAATAAGTCTGTTTGTTGAATTGCCAATTCCCAAAGACCACACAAAGCACATGCTAGGTGCAGAGTTTAAAGGCCATCTTTAGTTTAGTCACATGCACTTACAACCACATCACTGTTCTTGTAAAAACATCTGACACCGCCAACATGAGGAATAAAGAAAGACGAAATTAAAAAAGAAATCACAATTTATTAAAACAAATTTAGCATGTTAACAGACCACAATCGCTTAGCATGGACAAATTAAGGGAATAACCTGATGCACAATCTTCGTATAATGCGGTGATAGAATATTGCACACTCAGCTAAGAGTACCGGGTATCGCCACTCTGTCCATCAATGCCAAGTAAAATATAACTGTAAAAAATATTCGTATAACTAATTTTTGTAATTAAAATACTTAAAACGGTCACTAAAGAAAATCTTAAATATTACAAAATGCAGGTTACATGTATACTTTAAACAAACAAACAAAAAATTTAAATAATATCAAATTATAAAATGAAATTATTTCACCAAGCAAGGTACATTTATCCCTTTGCTAGATTTCAAGTGTATATGTCCTGTTTGTATTTTTACCCAGCTTACATGTACTCAGCTGAATAACCTCAGAAAGATGGAAGGAAGAGTTGATATTGACTGGTATTTAACCTTTTTACTGCAGGGGTAGCCGTACCAACTGAGTTAGCAATCAATTACTGTATTTTTCCATATATAAGACTGTGTTTTTTTTCTAGTTTGTTTTAGTCTAAAATTGGGGGTCGTCTTATACACGGAATGTCACTGCAGGGGTTAAAAAAAACAATACTTGTGCGCGGGGCCTAAGTTAAGATGGCTCCTGCCACGTTTCAGTGTGCCGCGGCCCACACACATACCTGGCCTTCCTCCCGCCGATCCACTTCTGAATGCTGTGACAAGGAGGAAGAGGTCCCTATATGCATGGGAGCTGCAGCAGACATCAGCACTCCCACCAACGGAGCTCCAGAGACATGCCACACCATAAAAGGAGCAGGCATATTAAGGTTTGCGCTACCTCGGGTAGGTCTTGCTTTCTGATTTATATTTATGGGGCAGGAAATGAGGATCAGGGAGAAGAGGGAATACTACTGTGATGTCCCAGCATGCCCTCACACCACCTGCTGTATCATGGGAGTTGCAGTCTCCCAGCATGCACTATAGAGCCATTAACTTCACAGAGTACTGTAGCTCAGGGGAGGCATGAGAATCAGAAGTGCATTGTTCTCCTCAGAAGTTACCTCTAAAATATCAAAGTTGTTCTATTTCATGTTTAAAATTTAGATTTCTTAATTTTGGGCTCAAAAATAGGGGTTGTCTCATACAAGGGGACCTTTTATACATGGAAAAATATGGTAATATTTACATCTAATGCATTTTTGCATTTTATTACTGACTAGCAAATTGAGAAAAAAAAAGATGTAATAGACATTTAATGTGAATATAATTTAACATGAAATAGCTATTAGTCACTGTTCAGTAGAATGCATTAATTAACATGTAGAAACGATAATTTCTACGTTATATAATTTCTGTTTCCGTCTATTTTATTCACTATGCACACATGTGCAGTCTTGTTAAATAGATTGTTAGTTAGTCCCGTTGCACAGATTAATTCAGCAGGTTTCCTCCAGGGTCTTTCAATCTGCTATTTCACTTAAACTCCTTGTGTCTTCCTTATTGAGTGTCTCCCGGTGAATGTTATCATAATTAAAGGCATCTAGCCAGTTAATTATTGGCATATACCTTTCCAC